GTTATTAAAGTTGTCACTCCCAAATTCTGCTCACAGCTTTAGCTAAGAGGTCTGGAAAGCCACGTCCTCCTGACCTCTTCATCTTGACAATATTCCAAGCAGATACGGCATCCAGGCATTTCAGCCGCAGAGTTTAATTTTTTATAACTGGAAATTGTGGAGGATTAGATGCATGCAGGTTTTCCAAACCTGTGGCTCCAAAAACAGGACAAGAATCTTCATCCTATTCTACTTCATGAGATCTACATCTCCTTTCTGACAACTGAGGAGACATTCAGGACTTTTTCAATCTAGAATGTACTTATTAAGTCTTAACCCTTTCTTCCCCTTTCTTAAATGTTAGGGCAAACATCATGGTAAAATACAGCAAAACCAAACAAACAGAAACCAAACCGAGAGTAAACAACCTTGGCCTTTGTTCTGGTTTGATCACTGAAATCACTGTTCAGGCCACGGCCTTTCTGGGCAGAGGCTTCGCCGTTGGTAAAAAGAAAGGGCTGCCTAACGTGACTGTCCCAGGTCTACGACACCCCATGATCTGCAGGAATGACCTCTATCATTCTTCAGAGAGACGGCAATTAAACAATGGGGGAAATAATGAAAATGTTAAAACTATGTACTGGAGGAGAGACTTTCAATAAAGACCAGAACCTCTGTCATGGTTATTTTTAGAACGTAAGCTACTTAAGGACAGGGACCGCTTTCAGCTTATTTCCCCTCTGGAACTTGCAAGAAAGACCACACACGTGGTAGGCAGGGCAAGAGGGTCCTTCCTCAGTTCTGCGTGTGACCAAGCTGGCTGCTGCAGAGGGTGACACTGGCTCAACACGGGGCCCTACAGCCGGCCTGGCCTGTGCTCCCTCCTGTGCCCCCTCCTGTGCCCCACAGACTACTCCCGAGGCACCTGGTCGCCAAGGGAGACCTCGCTCATAGGGAAGCAACCGGGAGACCAGCCACCAGCACGTTCTCTGGCCAAGAGGACAACAAAGAACTTCTTGGCTCTGGCTACTGCTAGGACTGTGCTGGCTGGTTCCAGCCATGACAGGGAGCTCAGAGTGGCCAAGGCCCTGTGATGCAATGACAGAGCCAGGGCAAACAGGAAGCACAGGGGGACTTTTCACGCCTGCCTAGGAGGTTGGCACTGCAGCAGGCGATGTGACTGCCCACCAAGCACACAGTAGTAGAAGTCAACAGGATCTAACATGCTAACAAAAGCCTCCAGATGGCAACGAGTGTAAGATTTGGGGAATTTGGGAAAGCTTCAGCAGAACAACCGGGAGTCAACGACTGAAATCAACAGCAACAGGACTCCTCTAGAACAATCACAATCAAGGTCTCCTCCCAGGGGCCCCTATTTATACTCCTTATTTCCAAGGTCAAGGAGAAAGGGAAACAAAGTCTCCTGAACAGCTACTGGCGAACCAGCAGCACACCCGATGGTCTTCAATACTGACTGAACACAACTACTGTGTGCTCAGCCCTGGGTGACGGAGGGGCAAAGGGCAGGGGCTGAGGAAGAGAGCGTGGCAGCCACTCGCTTGTGCCCCAGCCCTACCCTCAGATTCCAGTTTGCTCCGAGTTTCTCTGCTGAGACATCTCACAGGCTGTTCAGAGCAGTGAAAGAAGAGTCTAGGCTCTGGCTGCTTGAGACCAACCCCCAACCGTGTCCCCAGCTCTGTGCCTCAGGTTCCCATCATGGGTGACGCTTCTCCACCACCTCACAGCAGCACTAATACGCTGGGAATGGGTAAACTGGGCAGGTGATATTTACAGGTATGAAATGATTATCATTTAGGCCTCGTTTAATCCAACAAATGCTGAAAAAAGTTACAATAAAGAAAGATTTTGTTTACCATGGGAGTAGCACTCTCTAAAAGGATGCTCAATGGCCTTCTTGGTCTCTTCCCTTGCTCTCACCTCCCTGGGTGCCCGCTCAGGACTTTCTACGCCAAGGATGCGCCTGCACACTGACATGCATGTTCTCCTTTAGCCTCACCCTGACCCTAACAAGGCTGGAGCTGTTGTCTCCACCTTACAGACGAGGAAGCTGAGGCTCTGAGGCTAAGTGATAAGAGGAGCAACCAAGGAGCCTGAGGGGCCCGGAGAACACGCTGCACAGGGGTCATGGGAAGAGACAGTCACAGAGGAGGCAAATGCCACAGGCAGGAGCACGAGACAGGGAGAGCAATGTGCCCTGTGCATCTGGCAACATGAAGGATGCTCATCACTCACAGAGCTTACAATTCAGTCGGTACAAGTTACTGTGCTATACAATCTGAGTTCCAATATGAAATCGAACCCCATCTGACCTGGGGGGAGAATGGGGTCCTGGAGCAACCTGAGCTCATACGGGTCACAGAAGCAGTGCTGGTGCAGCTGGGCCACACTCCTCCCCCTTTTCTTTGCCCCTCGGAACTCTTCTCCAAGGCAGGTGGCAGGGAGAAAGGGCAGGTCCTAAAATGTTGGTGCCACTGCCTGTTTTGAAATACATGCTAACATGCCCAAGAATTTCACTCATGGTTAAGGCAACCCGAAATAAACTGTCAAAACCTGAAACTAATACAACATTGCAAATCAACTATATTTCAATAAAAAAAATAAAGTGTCATTATATTCTTAGAGCAGCGGCCTGCAGTCACTCTAGCCTGGTCTGTAACTGGCCAGGTACCAAGCCCTTACCTATCTCCTCATCTTCAAATGCCTTCTTGTTCCCTTCTCTCGGCAGTTCTCGGGCTCTGCTCTCTGCCTAAAATGCCCTTCATCCTCTCTGTGACCACCCATATCCCACCAGTCCTTCAAAATCCGACTTTTCCAGAAGGCTCCAATCACCATTGCCAGATCCCACTATCTGACCACACATTAAGCCACTTGAATCTCTTCCATTCATCACTTTGTTCTTTATATAAAGTTTTGTATTTCACTTATTTAGGTTTCAATTCCAAATATTTCATTTACATTCTCTCATCAATCCTTTAACATGATGAGCATAGGAACCATGTTGTATCTGCACTGTCCCCACAGAACTATGTACTTGTACGATGTGAGGCTCATAATATTCACTGAGATGTATCCTCCTCGCTCCACTCAGAAAAGGGGCTGACTGTGGGCAGAGGCACACTGGAGAAGGCTGTCTAAGGCTGTTGGAGCCTTCACACTCACTAGGGTGGGAAAATAAAACAGGACAATGACAAGTGTTAGGTTAGTGTGAAGAAATCGGAAACCGCATATGTTGCTGGTGGGATGTAAAATAGTGCAGCCACTTTGGAAAACGGTGTGGCAGTTCCTCCAAAAATTAGAGTTACCATATGACCCAGCGATTCCACTCCTAGGTATGTACCCAAGTGAACTGAAAACATATGCCCACATGAAAACTAGTATATGAATGTTCATAGTAGCCTCATTCATAATAGCCGAAGTAGAAACAACTCAAACGTCCACCAACTGCTGAATAAACAAAATGTGATATATCCACAAAATGGAATGTTATAACCAAAAGGAGTGAAGTACTGATACACGGTACAACATAGATGAACCCTGAAAACACTATGCTTGTGAAAGAGGTCACATACTATACAAGCCCATTTAGATGAAATGTCCAGAATAAGCAACAGAAAGTAGATTAGTGGTTGCCAGGGGCTGGGACAAGGGGAGAATGAGGAGTGACCCCCAATGAATACAGGATTTTTGGGGGGGATGATGAAATTTTCTGGAATTAGATAGTGGTTATGGTTGCACAGCCTCGTAAATATACTAAAATCCACCAAATTGTACATTTTAAAAGAGTGAATTTTATGGTATCTTAATTAAAGAAACAAACAAACAAATAAACTAAAAAACACCCTCAGAACAGAAATGCTAGTATGCGGCTATGATCCTCAAACTTTAGAATATACAAAAACCATCTGGGGTGTCTAAGATAAAAACTCCTGGGCTTCCCTGGTACCATCACAAAAATTATAGCCCAAAAGATTCAGCGGGGAACCCAGTAGCCTGCATTTAACAAGCACACTAGGGGGCAGCGATGCAAATATTAGCCGTGAAGCATGTTTCTCGAAACAGAAGTATAATGAAAAGAAATTGTAACTTAGAATCAGAAGAGCTGGATTCAAATTCTGGTACTGCTCCTTCCTAGTTATATGACCTTAGTCAAATCACATAACCTCTCAGCTCCTGAGTTTCCCCAAACATAAAATGCAAAGAAGAGGGCTTCCCTGGTGGCACAGTGGTTGAGAGTCCGCCTGCCGGTGCAGGGGACGCGGGTTCGTGCCCCGGTCCGGGAAGATCCCACATGCCGCGGAGCGGCTGGGCCCGTGAGCCATGGCCGCTGAGCCTGCGCATCCGGAGCCTGTGCACCGCAAGGGGAGAGGCCAGAGGCCCGCGTATCGCAAAAAAAAAAAAAAAAAAAAATGCAAAGAAGAATGTCTCCCTCCCAAGAGACGGTGCACATAAAGTGTCTAATAGAATACCTGGCACATTGTCAGTGCTCCAGAGATGCTAGTGAATCCTAACTGGGTGCCAATTCAATTCAACGAACATTGTCAAGTGACTACAGTACGAAAGGCCCAGTGCAAGGCGATGGTAATTAGTAGGACAAATTTTTTAAATCACCAATTAATGGATTTTACAAAGTACGAAATAGACTTTAAAGATCAAGCACCACTGTTTATAAATTTCAGATTAGCATATTACTTTTTCTGACCCTGGAAAAGTGAATTTGGGAGTTTATCAGGAAAAACAAAAAAGATTTGTTCAGGCATTTGATGATTATAAAGAATTTCTGAAAGCTACTTAATAAAATTGATAGCTGTATTATACTGTACTGTTCTGCTATTTATTTTTTTCTTTGTACTTTCTCTCCCCAAGCAGAATGTAAGCTTAGAATCTGGTACCATGCCTTACGCTTTTCTCACATCCCCATAACATCTACCCCATTCCTGGGGCAGACAGAAAATACTCCATAAGAATGCACTTAATGAATGCACTTAATGGTGATCTGTTACCTTCAGGTCACGGTGGATAATAGGAGTTTTGCACTGATGCAGGCGGGCAACAGCTTCACAGGTGTCACAAAATATCTGGAGTACTTCATTCTCTGTAAAACCTGTTTGCAGGCGCTGGTTCATCAGGTTGACCACCTGGCCTCCTGAGAGGGGCGCAGAGCAGAGGAAAGGTTATTAACATTCAGACCCATCACTTATCCACGAGAATGAAAGGCTGTCCACAGAGGAGCAACCTGGACTCAGCCCATCACTGGCTGAGCCACGACTAAACCCCGGTATCTTGATTCCCAGCCTGGGACTTGTTTTCTATGGCGTCAAAACAGTTTCTTCATTATATAAAGCAGCCCAGATGTGAGCTGCCCTCATTCTGTCTTCAAGATTAGTAGCAGAACTGACAATACGGTCCTGGCTCTAGTTGCCTGGTTATACTGTCCCTGTTGTGCACTGGACGAGGCCACAGGTTCAATCTGCTGTATCTTTTAGTAAGAATCAGACTGCACAATAGACCCCGGGTGGAGGAAGAAGGCAGTTTGATAGTCTGTATTTTAGAAACAGCTTGGTCTCTCTGGCTTTACTGCTTGCTGCCTGGTCTGCAGAAATGCTACACCAACATTTAATCTCTAGGACTGAAAGACTGACGATCTCGCTTAGAAAATTATCCAGCTCCCTGGACTCTCCTACTGCCTCGTCTTTAAACATTTTACTGTCCAAAAAGGAAGAGGAGGAGGAGACAAACTGTCAAGTTCAAATGTGGTAGTATTTTTTTTTTTTTTTTTTGGGGACCCGGGCCCTCCTTTCTAAATTTCCCCCCGGAAAAAAAAAAAAAAAAAAAAAAGGGGGGGGGGA